AGAACGCTAATCCGTGGACACAAATCCATTAGATATACAAATGCTTTCCTCAACTCCACCTCACAAGCAATGATTTGCATTTTTTTCTCATTTTTTAGGGCTATTCATTACTTTTTAATTTAAGACAATTATTTTAATGAACAACAGCTCATATTTTCTAAGTACTTATTTACGACTATTCTAAGTGCCTTATATCCATTTTTTCAATGTATATGAAGGCAGATAGTTAGCCTTATTCGATAGAAATGGAAACTGAGATTTAGACACATTAAGGCACATGCCCAAGACCACACAGCTGGTAAATTCTGGTGCTGGCATTTATACTTAGCTGTGAATCCAGAGATTTTGTTCTTAACCACTGTGCTACCAAAGAGCAGGCCAAGGAAAGAAATGTCTTGCCACTTTGAGAAAAACCTCATTTCCTTTTAGTGAAGTTGAAAAATTGACTTTTGAGGCCTGGATACTGAGAGAGCTAACAGAATGTTAAGAGCACTCCTGATATTAGATTGCTAGAGATAACTCTTTGGGTAGAGAGCCAATAAAACAGGCCCACCAAGAAGGAAGAAAGCTTCAAAGTTCTATTTAAAGGAGATCCAGTGGGAATCACTTTGAAAATAGGAAGTGGGGCCAAATGATTCAGTGAAGCACATCAAATACCCATCGTGCTTCCAAAATCAAGATCCGGCTGAAAGAACTGAGGAGAATTATGGGGGAGTCTCTTTGTGAGCAGGTGGGTGGTGCCACAATGTGATAGGTTAAGGGGAGAATGTGTTAGAAGGACTGACTCATTCTACTCCCTGCTGCAGCTATTCTGAGTTTAAAGATAAGGTTTAAGCATTGAACTCAATTTGCTGTTAAGGTGACTTGTTGAGAGCTGAAGATAATCACAACTGGATCTCAAGTCTCTGCTAAATAGGCTCTTAAGTGACATTATCCACAGTGTTGTGGACACTCATGGAGACCAAAATGTTTCCATTGTAGTTCCAATACCTGCAAAAGATCGGGGGGTGTTTCAGGTGGCTTTATGGAGTGTCATTCTAGCAAATTCACCATTGGTCCAATTGCTGGATCTGTGGCACTGAAGGCTAGTTTATCATAAGGAGAAATTGCACTGGAATTTATTCATTCTATCCAATTGTACAGGGTGCTGATTTATAAACCAGAATTCAGTTATTAATTTTAAAACCTCAAATCCTTCATGGAATGATTCAAAATACAAATAATGGGAGGCTGGGTGAAAATATGGAGAGAACAGATGGTCTAGATTCAGAAACAGACAAAGCTGTTTCTGAGAACCCAGTTTAGCTAGATGACCTTGAGCAGCATCTTAACAGCTCTGAGTCGCAGTTTCTTTTGGGAAATGGAGATGATGTTATGGAATAAGGCTAGTTTGACTCTAGAATACTCAGCTCAAAGGCAAGGGACATGGTGGGGAGAATCGTAGCCTGCTAAAGCTGGCCCCAGCAATTACAGATGTATGTTCCAATACTCAGGGTCCCAAGAGAAGCAGCTGTCAGGTATGAGTTAAGGTAGGTGTATTATCAGGAGCCTTAATTTGGCGGTTGGACTGTAGCAGTATGAGTAGATCCTTTCCATTTTAGAAAACCCTGGACTGCAGTATTCTTCACCCCAAAGTACAGAATTGTCAAGACATTAAATCAGGTCTTTGATCACATGGCACTGATTTCAGTGTCTGGTCCAAGTGATAGAAGAAGAATGGCAAAATCAGGCGGGTAACCAGGACAGTTCTAGATGGAATTCTGTGCAGTGAACCATCTATCATCATCATCATCATCACCACCATCATCATCATTGGAGGAGAGTCCCTGGTGCATCCAATCTAAGCCCTAACATTTGATCCAATTCCTTCTGTGTGATGAAAGCAAGGTTGTTATCTTTCCCGCCAATTGTACAGCTAACTTTGGTCAACTGTCAAAGATCAAATCAGGGAGGCAAGGCAGAGTTTCTTAGCATCAGCATAAAAGACATTGGATAGTAATGAGGCTCGAGGGGAGTTTTGGAAAGTGCCCCAACTTCATAAGGAGCATCTCTTCCTAGTGCCAGTAAGGTATCAGTTGGGACCACTTGTATGTTGGATCTAAATAGCATTGGTACTGCACCCTCTCCCAATTTCTCAACCTATAGAAGTCACACGCCAAGATTTCTCAGAATATTTTTGTATTTTCAACGAGATATTTTTTTCTTTTTTCCTTCCATCCCTTTTCTTTCTTTCCTTCTTTTTCTTTTATTTTTCGATACCTCTGTTACATACCACAATGGCCAAGATATGAAATCCAGTCCATTCTTCAAGTTTAAAGTACACCTACCCACTCCCCAACACACTCTCAAATAAAGTGATCATGACCCTGGTAGACTTCACTAGTGATTTTTGGAAATGAGCAAGAGGATAGGTTCACATAATAGCATGAGAAAAAATAAGTATAATGGATAATTATCTCATCTGGAGATTTCATTACTCTTCCTCCTCCTTTCTCATTCCTCTTTATTTATCTTTTCCATTTCCTTTTGGGTGCAAACTCCCAAAATTACTCTTTTCTCAAACAAAAGAGCTTTCTTCCTCATCAGTTACAACATCCTTTATTGATGTTTATCCCCTCTGCTAAGTTCTTGTCTTTCTAAAGGGAACATAAGGCAGCTTTTGAGGAGCATGATCTCACTACGAAAAGTTCTTATTTGACCAAGAAAGACAGTAAAATAAATTTGATCTTAAGTACTGGTGACCAGGATACTCTGGTGCTCAAATGATTCAGAAATTTTCTTGAATGATTCCAAGAAACACTTAGCAGGTTTTTAAAAAAGCCATTTCCCGTCTTTTTAACATTTTAAGCAAATGGCTTTATGAGTGCAATGTTACGTAATGATAATAAAGTTTAAAATTGTCAACTTTTAAGCTGATCTTGTGTGGCTCAGCCAGTTGAGCCACTTGGTTTCAGCTCAGGTCATGATCTCATGGTTCATGAGTTCCAGCCCTGCATCAGGCTTGTGCTGACAGTATGGAGCCTGCTTGGGATTCTCTCTCTCCCTCTCTTTCTGCCCCTCCCCTGCTCTCTCTCTCTCTCTCAAAATAAATAAATAAACTTTAAACATTTTTTAAAAAATAATCAAATCTAGCTTTCCTTGTGTTTATTGCATTTTCGATGGAGGTTGGAACATACAGCGTTTACAAAACACTGTGTTCTCATCAGCAATATTTTTGATGAAATATCTATTAGAATATGATTTTTTCTGCAAAGAATTCCACAGGAGACCAGAATCTATTTTATTTTCTTTTTGTTAGATTCAGTTTCTGAAAGATACTTTTTAACCCTCTCCCTTGATTCTGAGAGTGGCCCTTATATAAAATCAGTGATTCCCTGTACTCTGGCCATTGCTTCTGAGAAGTACTACGATGGTAACTTTTGTCAATTGTTGCTGCCAGTGTAAATGGAGGCACAATCGACAGGGATCCAAAAATATTGCTTCTGATTTTGTTGTGCAGAAAAATGTGATTAGTGTAACCAAAATTTTTGCTGATTCTGCCAAAAATAATCTGTCTCTGTGCAACAGGAAATTTCACTTTTTTAATACTAAGAAATTTATTTTAAAACATTTTTCATATCATTGGTATTTCTAAAGAAAGCAAAACAAGTCAACTTCATGAAGAAAGATGTAATTCTCAATTTTTAGGAGGATATTTTGAAGCATTGTAATTTTTTTCTATTTCTCTTTATAGTTCCATCAATTTCTGACTTATTTATTTTTTTAATTTAAATTTTAGTTAACATGTAGTGCAATATTGGTTTCAGGAGTAGAATTCAGTGAGGAAGATTCACTTTTGGGATACTTCATCATGATGGTGGCCAGCAGTATATTTTAGAATAAAAGTTACCTTACACAACCACATTAACAGCAAAACATTCCAGGTATTGAAAACTAGGAGGGGAGGAGATGAAAAGATAAAGAATAAGTAAAATAGTAGGGTAAAATAAAAGAAAAGGATACGATATTGTACCTCAATGTTTAAGCATAAAACTGACTGACTTTTTATAGAAGTTTCCTCTAATACTTAGTTACAAATCTTTTTGGTGATTTAAAATACGGCACATCTTTGCACGTATCTTCCATTGGTATTGCCTGGAATTGGGGCACTTGGCTGGAGAAAGTTGATACAACATCACAAAAGAAAAGATAATATAAAACTAAAAATTGCTCATGCATGTTCCAATAATTTCCTGTCAATGAACCAAGGCAAAAGCAAACCTTTCTTGGCATCACTGTAGTTTGAATGGCACATTCAGTCACTGGCCAAAAACTTTGTGTGTCTGTTTTCTTTTCCTAAGATTCCAGCACATTAACTAGAAGAAACGATGAACTGTTTGGTGGTCCATAATTCCATTGGTGGATTAACATGCTTAATCATGCATACTTTTCCACTTCAATTCCGAAAACATTAAGGAAATATCAAGAGTAATAAAATAGCTTCAAAACACACAGCATAATTTAAACAATAATTCCCATATATAAAATAGATCCCTGCCATTTGTATCAGTGATGGGGCTGCAGCTGTGCTGCCTTATAAATCATCCTCCAAGACAGAAATGAACAAAGCAGGACCAGACCATGGACTGAGGTGAGATGGGGGAAGCCTAAGACAGTAAGGCTGCTTGCTTCTTTCTTTCCTCTTGGGAAGGGAACAGGAGACCAGATCAATGAGTATGTGACAACCTGGAAGCCCTGCCCAGGCGTCACAGCTCTATGAGATAAGTGTTGTCCACAGCCCTTTGGGGGAAGAGGTCTTCTTGGGTCAAGTGGAGGTTGCCAGGTTCTTAGTTGGAAGGATGGTGGAAGCTGATACCAAGAACTGTGGGAATATATCTGGTAGAGATGGGGAGGAAGAAGAAAGACTGAAGGCCTCAGCTCCCCAAGCCAGCCAGCTGAACCCTCAGGGATAGCCACTAACCCTGTAGAGAGCTAGAAAGCCACAGAAAATCAAGGGTCTTCTGCAGCCAATTAAGTCGACTGTAATCTTTCCTCATGGGAGCCTGGTGTGCAATGGCTGCAAACAATAGCCTCCTTGGTAGTGTATGCAGCCTGTTGAATGTATGGGTTGCCCTAAGGAACCTTGGAGATGGCTCTTTCCAATGGACATTGATGTTTGACCTCATGCTATCTCCAATCTAGGCTCCAGACAGGTATGCAGGGTGCCTTTGGAAAGCCATAGGGCACAGTGATCAGGGTCCACATTGGCCAAGCATCATGACCATCTGTACCAACTTGCAGAACAAGGAGCATGTGACTCAGGCTCTACGTAGGGCCAGTTCCCTGGCTGCTAGAAGATCCATATTTCCAAGAAGTGGGGCTTTACTAAGTTTAATGTAGACGAATTTGAAGACATGGTGGCTGAAAAGTGGCTTATCCCAGATGGCTGTGGGATCAAATACATCCCTAATGATGGCCCCTTGGACAAATGGCAGGTTCTGCACTCATGAAAACCTCGGCACTGCCCTTCCCTATTCATGCCCACCAATAAACCTTACTTCCTGTCTGAAAGAAAGAAAGAAAGAAAGAAGAAAAGCAAGGGTCTTAGTAGAAGGACCATTGAGGCTCATTCTTATATGAAGTGGGTAGTTGGAGAGATCTAGCCTGATGCCCACAGAATAAACTTTCTTTCTGAATTTCCAAGAGTATTTCCAGAGACATGTTGCTCATTTACAGGACCTCCTGATATACCAAAGGCCTGCATTCTAGTGGCCCAGAGACTGAGTGGCAGATATTATTAGTATAGGTATCTAGGTCCAGATTGTAGCTACCTGAGAACTACAGTTTTGATATGGCTTAGAGAATGATTTAAATATATTACAAATTAAGTTATATACCTTTCCATAAAAATTAAATGTTAAAAAAGTGAAATATTAAAATTAGCCCGTTACAATATTATCTTTATATGGGTTTTTTGTTCTTATTCCTTTTGATCCTAAAGAAGAGTAAAGAATGTTTTCTTTCTCCAGTGTCCTGGGGTTGGATTTTTTTAATGTGTATGTGTTTATTTTGAGAGAGAGAGAGAGAGAGAGAGAGGATCCTGACCTGAGCTGAGATTAAGAGTTGGATCCTTAGCCGGCTGAGCCACCCCAGTGCCCCCTTGGGTTTGATTCTTTAAGAACTGGGTGTATAGTTTGACAAGTAGGAAATAATTATATCCTGCTTTATTACCCTGGGTTACCAAAGAAGATCATATTTTTTTCATATTCAAACTAGATGATTCTGACCCCATACCCCACCTGTTACAAGAGTATCTCTCTTCTCTGTCTGGGATCTCTCTCTTGTAATAACTGCAACAACTTCAGGGATGCTTTGTAAGCCCAAGTCAGTCCAAAGAGTCAGGCCTGGTTATTCTGTTTTTCACTCTATTGCTGCCATATCAGATCATGAAAGCTCAGTTGGTCTTGCCATTCTAATATCGACCTTGTCTGCTGAAGGGCAGCCTGCCTTGAATAGAGCAGGTGCCTCAACACTGGGCTGGTAACTCAGTAAAGTGGTGCAATCTTGGTCTCCCTTGAGGCACTTTGTACAGTAGGAATGAGGTATGACACATACTTGGGTGTATTAGTTTCCTAGTGCTGCTGTAACAAATGACCACAAACAAGGTAGGTTAGAGTAAAATGGATTTACCATCTCAGAGTTCTGGAGGCTAGAAATCTGAAATCAAGTTTTTGGCAGGGCTTGTTTCTGAAGCCTCTAGGGGAGGATCTTTCCTTAGATTCTTCCTAGCTTCTGGTATTGCTGACAATCATTGCTGTTCCTTGGGCTTGTAGCCACATCCAATCTCCGCCTCCATCATCACTTGGTAGTCTCCTGCATGTGTGTCTGTGTTCACATTTGCCTTATCTTACAGGAACATTAGTCTTTGGATTAGGGTACATCCCAATGCAAAATGAATTCACCTTACCTTGATTATCAGCAACTTGATTATTTAACCTTCCTCATGATCCATCTGGCTCTGTTGTTCTTCCCACTGACTTGCACCATGATTTCAGCTTCACAAAAAAAGAACTTCATTGACCTGATGTCCTTCATCTTCCAGACAGTCCAATTTTTTTTTTGGCATGGCATCTTCTTTCTATGTCTGCTCATGCAGACCGATAGACTCTTCTATGGACACTGAATTCATCTCTTACGTTGGACACTAGCCTAGCTATATGCTTGTAAGAAGCATGGCTATATTCTAAAAAAGTTGAGAAGTTTAAAAATATACTGAAAATATCTGATCCCAGTTGAATTGAAGAATTAATTAATTTCTTTAATCATTTAATCTAGTAGTGTCTAATGTAATTTTCTGTGAAAATGGAAAAGTTTTATTTCTGCACTGGCCAATTCAATAGCCAATACCCACATAGGATTACTGAGCACTTGAAATGCAGCTGATGTGGCGGAACAACTGAATTTCTAATTTTATTTAATTTTAATTAATTTTCATTTAAATTTAAATAGCGACATGTAATTAGTGGTTACTGGATTGGACAGCCCAGATCTACTCCAATCTGTTAACATAAAGGAGTGTGTGATAGAACAACATTTAAAACCTCAGGAACAAATAATCAAATTGAATTCATTTGTTATGATAAGAACTTTATACACTCTTAAGGGTTAAAAAAAAGAAAAGGTGATGAAGCGGATATGGGAGCTTAACCAAATAATTCTAGGGCAAAATGAGTGAGGTCCATCATCATTTATGTGTTGTTGAAGACTGACATCTTCATTTTTCTAGCTTCAAGCATACTTCAAGTGTTATGGGAAACCTGACAAAGGTGAAAATGTTTAAAGTGTATTTAGCCATGTTTTCAGAAGCCAGATGAGATCCTGGAGAAGCCAAGAACCTAGCCTTTCCTGATGAGTAGCTCAGCCACTTGATAAAACTTCTTGGCTCTCATTTGAAGCTACTGCACCAGTAAAAGATAAAGGTATTATCTTCCCATTTTAAAATTGTCTCTTTTAATTTCTCAGAGTCCAATTTACTGTTTTCTTTAGATAAATTGCTTCTTTAGCATTCATGTGCAAAATGTTATCCAGACTTTAAAAATAGAAGATGTCAAAGTTGAGGTAATATGTCTGACTGGGAGATTATCTTGCTCCTGAACTGGAAATCCAAAGAAAACAAAGAAAGAGAGAGCAGTTAAGCAGAAACATGTTATTGACCCACGGAGCATATCCATCATAAAGCCTGGAGGAAATATTTCCTTATGCCTCAAAAAGATGAGTTACTTTATGAAGAACTTCAATCAGTTTGATTCAACTTTAAGATGTTAGGGTTTCTGAGTTCCATATGTTTCTGTGGTTGTCAAGAAATCCTTGCAGAGAAAAGTTTTAATGAAAGGTAGCTGAATCTGGAATTAGTATAATGTACCTTCCGATCTCATGGGATAGCTCTAGAGAAGATGGAGGTGTACCGAGTAGACAGGGAAAAGGAAATGGACGAGTTGGAAATAATTTAATAACATAAAGACTGCTAATACCTAACTCATATAAACTTATATAGGCACAAATTCCTCAGTCTTTTTCTTTATGAATTCTATCCTAAAGACCAAATAATTTCCAGCTTATATGAATTTGAATGTCCATATATTTACATACTGGCTTTCCAGTTATTCCCCCAAATGATTTTTTTAGAATACACTTGTAAATAAAATCCTCACTTTCCTTAGATAGGAATCAGCTCCTCTGAAATGTAAACTTTGGGTAATTTGCTTTATTAAAATGAAATACTAAGTCTGAGTGTCTAGGTGGCTAAGGAGACAAGGCCGCTCTATCTCTCTCTCCCTTCCTCCCTCATTCCTTCCTTCTTTCATTCTTTCTTTTTATCATATTGCTTTCTAGTTGTTGGTGAAAATTATGAGAATTAACAGAAAATAAATTATTTTAATATTTTATCTTTCAAAATATTAGTGAAGCCTTCAGTGGTCAAACCAATCTTGTTGCCTGATTTCTATGGTGAGGTGGGAATCAACTGATTATGAAACCCTCTGCCTCCTCTGCTACCCATCCCTCATATTCATCTAAGACAAGAATGCTTTTCTTTTCATTCTCAGGTTCTCCTTTTATTTATCTTATTAAGTCCTTTATTTTGCATAGAGATGAGGAGATGTTTTACTGTTCATATCACTGTCACTTGCCAGGAAACTGATTTATCATATGTGACACTAGAAAAAATAAAACACTAATTTATATTCATGAAGTCCTCATTTGTGCTTTCTAAACAGATATAATGCAATCTGTCTAACCTCCCCGGGATGTTCCAGAGCCCTGTCATTTTGTGACATTTTCTGTCCAGTATAAATAGGAAAAAAATAGTACATGAAAGGTAAAAATAGTACAAATAAAACAGAATTGAATATCTAAAGGATATCTAAATGAAAATTAGAAGGAATTATTAAGTGATGTTTTAGTTCCTAAACTTAATTTTATAATATGTCAGAAGATGGAATAGAAAACTTGGACTTGAAATTTGAGGATTATCATGACATTTCTCTCATGTACAAAGGGATATCTAAATTGACAAACAAGCAAACAAAAACCAAAAAACACTCATCAGTAATAACTAGCACATTCAACCACAGAAACCTATATAAGAGCCTTACCTGAAAACTTACAATGTGTCAAATCTTTTCTTTTTTTTTTTTTTGATAGCCTGTAAAATTTTATCATAATGCATATCTAAACCAACCAACCAAAAATAAATAACATATATCGTTTTTCAGTTAATGCCATAACATTCAAGATTCCCAGTGAAGGCAGATAGGATCAAATAGTTTCTAAAGATCCCTTTCTTAGAACAAGTTTCCCCAAGTTGCCAGACTTAGCTAGGTCCCCCTCTATTACCTTTGCAGCCCTATTTCCCCCATAGAACTTTGTACAGTTGAAATGTAGGCAGAACTTTTGCAAACATTTTTCTCATGGTTGTCATTATTAGACCAAACTCCATGATGGAGACACTGCATTGATTCTGTTCCCTCTGCACACCCAAGACTGAACACAAGACCTCCCTGATATGTATACCATACTTGCTAAACAAAAACAAAAACAAAAACAAAACACCACATTGAATTAATGAGTTATGACTCTTACAATCACCTTTAAGGT